CATTATGTATATGGTTGTATTGTATATCAGCGTGTGTGTGTGTGTGTGTGTGTAATGAATCCGTGCCTGCTTTGCATATTACTATTAATTTATGAGGTCTTACAGGAGAGTTCAAACTAAAGACCTGAGGAAAAGTCCAGAAGCAAAATCACTTAGTCCTGATGCCAACCTGCCAATGTACTGGTACTTTTTATTACTCAAGAAGCATTTAGGCTTAGAAACGGGACTCCCAGCAGCTAAGAAAGAATTTATTCAAGTAGACTTGAACTAAATGATACTTAGTAATTTGAGGGCATGTGAAGATGTCTACATATTTTAGAAACTGCAGTGTCATGGACCAGAGCCAGGAATGTTGCGTCATGACAGAAACATTTGTACAAATGTCAAAAAGAACAAATACCCATCAGTTTTTGATATAATTGTCAGACATAATAACAAAGTTATAGTAAAAAACATGCTTTTCAAAGAACTGTGGATCTTTGGTATTGTATGTTTTTTTTTAATTTAATTGTAATTTAAACCAGTAATTGTTAGTCAGAGGTATAAATAAATAGCATTACAAATCATCTCCTCCCTTTAGGGAACTGAGTGGAAACCCAGCCTTTAATAATGTTTTGCTTCTGGAGATTTCAGCCCAGTCTTCCCTTTTTTAAACAAATTTGGACTCAGTAGGTTTAACCCATCTTTAGATTAAGGCAGTCAAACAGAGTTAAATTTACATCAGATTTCAAAAATGAGAGGACAAAGGACATCTAGATCATGTAGGTTAGGACTTCCTAAATCACATTGCCCATGGTCTTTCAATAGGGGTTAATCATAATTGGGGCAGAAAGAGTGCAGGGGATGGAATAACTAATTTACATGCTGTCTGGGGCATTTTAGGCCGGGATCTTCCCTCCTCAGAATGCAGCAATTCCACTGTTACTCTTACGCTGAGACTTAATAATGTAACAAAAGCTACATGGAGGATAGTCTTCTGAAGACACATAAAATACTAAAGAATATCTATGCATTTTGGTTCCAGTGATGCAAAAAGTCCAAAAGCAGTCAAAGCACAATAAATCATCTTGAAAATAAGAAAAAATCACACAGTATACATATATTTTCTGAGGGGAAAGAGAAAAAGTACGTTTGCCAAGAAAAAATGACAAACACTCCAAAACCGATTACAAAAGGTAGCTACGATGATTTTCCATGGTGGCTGGTTGACTCCTAGGATCACTATGATGTGATGCAGTGTTAACACAAGGTTTGGGGCTGGGCCTCTTTCTTCTGTCTTGTGTCACAATTTTCCAGTGATTTTTCTTACAAACAGTGGAGTCACAATGTGCAGCACTGAAGGAGGCTCTGCTATCCTAAAATTAGATTACTAGCATTTTGGCTAAGGATCATATCTGATGTTGTGTGACATGTTGTTTCTATGTGGAACTATACAGTGCACTAAGATGGGCATGAAATGCTTACTGACTCTTAGTTCTGTAGTACCTTCAACTAAGTCACATTGATCATGGTCCCACAACGGGGAAATCGCATGTAACCCTACGCAGGCAGTGATGTTGAGTTGGCTTTTCTGGGAGCTGCAGGGGACACGCTATTTTATGATATATAATCTCTCTCTCTGTGGCTCGGTATATGCCATCCATGAAGTTGGTTATATTAATGTGTCAGACCTGCCCTGGAGGAAGTATGATGTTATGTAGACTTCAGTCTGGCCCTGTTGGCCCACCTTGAGGAAGGAGGGATAGGCCTTCAGAGCGTAGGTGACTGGTCACTCTGTAACAGAGCAAGAGGTGATTTTTTTGCTGGGGCCCATTACAGGCTGAGCCATTATGGGAAAAAACAAATACCATGAGTGGCAGCATATGAAGTAAGAGAAATGCCAACATCAACAGCTACAATTGTTGACTTTATTCAGAAAGTCTCTGTCTGTGATGACCTGGCATATTTCTCGTGAACTCTTCCGAGCACACAAAAATGATGTCCTGCCTGCAGAATAGTTCATCTCCAGCACAATACTGGCCTTTTCTAATACCAATCAATTATGCATCCACAGGTCCCCGATATTCAATGTGATTCCCTGTGTGTCACCAGTTTCCCTGCTCTATCAACTGGAAATTGTCCTAGCTGTCGCAGAGAACAATTTGTGTGTGAGTGTGTTCTAGTGAAGGCTGGGGTCCTAGGTTTGCTATTACAAGGAGCAAGGATGAACCTTTGGTTTGCCAAAATCCTGATGAAGGCAGAGATATCCTTACTCTCCACAGGACACCAAGTTACCCCCACCACAAAAAACCCCAGACACACTAAAGCACAGGGATTTCACACCAGTTGTAATCTACTTGGTGTCTTATCCCTCCTTTCAACAGGGAAGCTTACTTCTGCATCTCAGGTTCTTCTTCCTTGGTGGTGCCTGAGATGGACAAATGGATAATTTTCAGAGATTTCAATGTCTGTGTGGATAGCAACAATTTCAGATTAGTTCAGGGCCTCAGGACATCATAACATTCAGGAAATGCTTCCAAATAATTTACAGCTATTTCATACATTTCACTAAAAAGGTGGTATCTGAAGCACAAACCTAATGCTCCAGTTTTCAGTAATGGAAGTTGTGAGGGCTGATGGGAATAGAAAACTGACTTCCTTGATTTCAAGAAATAATTCCAGATAATGACACAACTGCTCAGTGTATGTCTGGTTGGATGATATGATAAACTTTCCTTTAACCGTTCATGTAGTATCTCCTATAGCGTAATTGAACCGAATACTGATTGGAGACAATCAGTACTGCTGATTGTACACTGACTAAGGCTTGCTTTCCCCCCTTCGTCTGTGAAGCAATTTTAAATCCATGTGTTAACAAAGGCAGATAATCTGCGGGGGAATAAAGTAGGAAAGCAGATCAGTAATGAAAATGATTGCTAGTTTTAGTGCCAGTAACTGGGCCTTATTTCTAAGTGAAAAATGTGTGGATGATGCAATATTTGTGGATTGAGTTACACATATTCTTCTGTGATGGGTACAAGTAAAAAACAGGCTTGGATATCCAGTTTAGCTTTGGTGCCTCTCTGGGAATCAGTCACAAGCGGCAGGCAGGCACAGCGGGCAGCCTCTATAAAGCACACATAGCAAAGGACAGCTAATGTATCTTAACGGACTCCAATGTGCTGGAGATATAAAGCAGGAAGTTACTGGGTTAAAGAAAACAATTGAGGAAAGATGTCGAGAACAAACTTACAGGCAAAGCAGAGTCTTCCTTTTTGAACCTCTGGTTTTTTGGCCATTCTTGGGTTTTTGGAAGGACCGTAATGGATTCTGAGAAAGAGACCTCATAGGAGAGCTCTTCTGTTACAGATGGGCTGCTTTTATCTAGTCCGCAGTCTAGACAGCTATTAGCTGAAAATAAGGGAAATTATATATGAATGCTGAATGTATGCTTGCATTTAGTACAGAGACATTAAAAAATTGAACCAAGATGACAAAAATCTTGAGAAAGTAATAAAGGAAGTGCTTCAAAGAGGAATTTCAGTGTAAACCACAGCATGTTCCTGTTTCGTCTGGAGGAAATAACCCCTTAGAAATAAAATCCCTATTTTCATTTTAGATTATTTAACTTGTTGCTTTTCGTGAGAAAGATAGTCAAGCTGGAACTTCCTGTTTATCAGGAATTATCAAGTTTTTGTACTCCAACCTTGTCTACCCAGGCCAGCAAACTGTGTTGGCGCTTGTCTAATGAACAATTAAAAATAAAAGTTCCTGACAGAAAAATGCTGTTGACACGGTTTCTCAGGTCACTGTTGACTTATTTACAATCATAAGACATTGTGCATATATTTTATATGTTCACATACATATATTTCTCACAGTTGCTAGTTTAGGTGTGTAGCACCAAAACAGGACTCAATGTACAATCTTCCAATTTGAAAAACACTATACTGGAATTTCTGGTAGAAATTGTGAAATGACTTATTGTTCTACTCTAAAATTTAGTCACCTGCTGAAATTAGTGGATGCCAAAGGAAAACTTCTGAAATCAGTACAATCAAGTACAGAAATACCCTATTGTCATGGAGTCCAAAGTGTGATAACATGCATGAGTTCCAGTGTTGCCAACTTTCATGACTGATCTCTCACATCTCAGGACAATTTTACATTTTCTGTTAAGGTCCAGCTCCTAGACTCATGCAATTGGAACAGAATCATAATTTTCATTGGAAGTGAAGTGAAATTTCAGCCCCCAGGACTGCAGAGAAGAGTTTAGTAACATGACCCAAGTGCATTCAAAAGCCACGGAAATCAGAAAGTGAATTAAAAAGCATCACATGTTTTATAAACACGTGCATGCCCCATGATTTTTGAATCATTGAGTTTACAGATACAGGAAATTAAACATTTCTTGCAACACTCTGTTTTGCCAGCCTTTGTTTTGCAAGTCTGGGATGAAAAAGCTAAGTGTGTTATTAAGTGGCTTCTGAACTGTGGCCTTAGATGTTACCTAATGGCCAAGCTGTTTTAAGATGTTTTACATCTCTCTTTCCATCCCTGGACCTGGGGCCACAGACCATCCACAGTGTCCCTGGCAATTTGGTTCCCCATCTGTTCTAGTACAACTGCTTGCGGAGCAGAGGTATCAGCAGAGCAGCAAAATGAACAGTTTTTGCAACCAGGGGAAATGTCTGTGGCACTATATCCAGAGGTAAACATCTAAGAGACTAGTTTTGAAACTCGGGTATTGATAGCCCTTTACTTAAGCCCTGAGCAACGGTGGTGGGAAGAGCTTTCAAAATAAAAGACGGACATTCCTATGGAAGGCTGCTGACAGTTATCCAGACATTGAGTAGAGCAGAGCTATCATTTTCGTTAGCACTGCCAGTTGCTGTCAGGGCAAAGTGTTTAAGGGATGTCCAAAATAACACCATTAGTAGATCAGAATAATAGGGTAGAACCAGAAAAATGATAAATTTCTAATACTACTGTTTCTGCAGTACTGGAGAAGAAATGTGAAGGAAATATGCATCTTTCTGTTCATGATTTGCGACAAGAAAATACACTGCTGACATATTTTGGACAAATTCTGCACCATATTGTTTAGAGGTTATTTTTACACTCCCAGCCTTGCAACAATCAGTACTTTTTAGACACCGATGCCTCAAGGGCAGCAGTCTGCGTCTGTACAACACCGGTCTTGAATAAGAAACTTTGGTTCCTGCATGACAATAAGCTGACAATGATTTTAAGAATATATATGCAGCACGGCCCCGACACAGAAGAGGGGACTAACCTCAGAACCACAAAAGGATCTTTCTGTCTATCATTTTCCTAGGAGGAAGTGAACACTGGTTACATGTTTGCATACTCACAGCTAACTGATTTCCAAACTGGCTTCTGCCCAGGAAGCTGGATACCATTAGAAGGAACTGGTGACACTGGAACTGTCTCAAATGTGGGCTGATAGGCAAGGAAAAATGATCAGACTGCAGTGAAGGTAAACGTCTATGGACAGAAACTGCTACAGTTCAAGCAACAGCGTATCATTCTCAGCTTACACTCGTTTGCCAAGTTTAAACAACCTGTTGTGATTCGCCAGAGTACATTTTTCACAGCCAAGCCTGAGAATTAATCTTCCCCAGGCTGCACAGATTTGGATCTTGTTGAGGTCAGTAATATTGCAGCTCGCTGTAGCTAATGAGTCCTGTCCTATATAATGACTGAAACTACCTAAGTAAATTGCTGTACGTAATTGTACTAAGCGAAAGGTCCTCGTCAAATTGTAATCCATCCTGCTTTTAATCATTTTGGCCACAAATCTTGCTGAGGACTCTCTGACACACGTTGAACATCCGCTGCTCCAAGCATCTGTCAGAAATCAGGCTGTTCACCACCTTTCGGGATTTGGGCACCAGCAAATTATTAACGGACGGATGTCCTCCCGTAGGTTATATACTAACACTTTATCAATGAACTGCAAAAACAGTTTTTGGGGAAAAAAGATCTTTTCTATAGTCGACTTCATTTCTTTCCGCTCCAGAAATCATTCTGCACTGTGTGAAAATGGGGGAAGCGTGTGTGGCACAGCAGAGAAGGGGCTCTGAGGCCCAGGGGGTGACTTTCAAGCACTATCACCTCTTCTTGGCAGCTGAGTTTTGCCCTTGTTCTCAGCAGTTTTGGGAGTCGTCATAAGACAAATCTGAGCGTGCGTGTGTACACGGGGCAGTAGCAGCTCATCTGCATGCTCTTGGGTAAAAAAAAAAAAAAGCTCAAGAATTTAAAAAATGCTCTGAAGGGTACTCAGTGAAAATAAATACAATGCCCCAAACCAGCCTCGTATTTTTTCTGCTGTCCTTTGCATGCTGGTGGGAGCCCTTGGAGCCTTCCCTTTCCCAAACCTGCTGCCTCACCCCCAAGCCTGACGGAGCAGCCCCCGGCTTTCCAGCTGAACCTGCAGCTGAGGGCACCCGATGAGCCCACAACAGCCGCTCTTTATAAATTGCTATTCGGCTGTTTATCAACAAGCAGCAATGCCTCAGGGCAGAAATTTTGTCTTTCCCATTTGTAGCCAATGCACAGGAGCAGCATTCAGGCTGCTAAAAAACTTCGGATATTTAAAAGACAGGCACCTCTTCCAATTGGAAGCCTGAAAAAATGTTGTAGTCGTTTTATTCAATCTTATCCTCTAAGCTATTTGGGTAACGAAGTCAAATGTAACATGAATAAAATCTATCCTGAGAGAGTCCATTCAATGGCCCGCAAACTTGAGAGGAAACAGGATTTGAGTCACATGGACTTCCTTTGCCAGAAGACTGTAAGGACCACTGATTTTTTTAAAAGGAGAGCTGTAGGATGCTTTTATGATAAAATCCCGTAACATTTACACAAAAGGCTTTAGGACATAAAAATGCAAGATAAATTTCAGGTGGTAGTGTGGAAGTGGAGGGGACAGTTAAACTTGCCTCAGCAATTTGGGAAAATCAAACATAAAAGTAGTTATTCTGCTGCTTAAGATCCAGATGGAGAAATTAATGGTAAACATTAGCAACTGGCTCATCTACTTTCACTGCTTGGAATGTCTGACCCTGCGAATTGTATTCAGAATAGATTTACAGTGAGTCAAGTTTATTAAGGAAAAAATCCTTCCAGCCTTGTTACACAGGTGAAATCAATAGTGAAGCAGCTGCAGTAACCAGGTTCTGTTAAGCATGGTGGAGCTCGCGGAGGGGAGCTGAAAGCACAACTCTGCCTTGCACCCAGCAGTGCTTGCAAGAGCCTGCAGGCTGCTCTAGCTTGTGGCAACTGAAGATCATGAACCATGTACAATATCAGGGTAGCTAAAAACATTGTATTCTTGGTCTCATTTCCCAGCCTCCACAGGGAGAGTGTATAAAGAAGCCAAATCGCTGTCTCTTTTGTGAAAATCTCTTCCAAACAGGACCAACAACCCCTCCTCCCCCCCTTTTTTTAATCTTAGGATAATATGATACAAAGAAAGGAAAGACTAGGAATAAAACCTTGTTAATGCATGAATTTTAAAGATACAGATTGTGTCTTTAGTAAAAAAGAAGATTAAAAAACTTTGGAAGCTCATGTCTTAATGAATGTGAAAGGCCAAGAGTCAAACTGTGTCCTTAACTAAGTCGGTACAGCTTTATTCATTTGGCTGGAGCTCCAGCGAAGGCAAGACTTCTCATATCCTGATTTCTGACTGAAAGTGAATCATTAGGCAGTTCTCGTTATCCAATACTAAAAATGAGCCCAATGTTTACTGGCACAATGTACACAGGAATTTCCAATGGGAAGAGGAAACCAGAAAAGTAAGGAAAAGATGGAGATGAGGTAGACAGTTGTTTAGTAGCTACTGTCGTTGTCGAAGATGTAAAAACAAATCATCCGAGCACCAAAGTGACAAAATTCTATTGTCAGCCCTGCAGCTAAGGGAAATAAAGGCAAAGGAGGATAGCCTTATAGCTCTGGTCAGGATACAAGTTGCCCATGCTTTGGATATATTCATATTTCTGAGCACTGTCATCACAAATGCCTTTTCATGCAAATAGCTCTTGGTTAGTTAGTGATTCTTCTTTGATTAGGACATGATTTTCTCATGCATTGCTCAAGTAAAATGCTCATAAAACTCTTGAAGAGTTTTAGCTGATCACAATGCACAGGGTTGTGCTGTTAATGAACACGGTGCTTCATTTCTTCCCTCCAATAATAAAATCAATGTTTCCCCCCCAGTTTGTATTCTGCTGTTGATTTTTCTAGGCTTTGAGCACTAGCAGAGCCGCTAGCTTCTGATGGAAGCAGCGGGGTACCAGCAGTAAGGAAAATCAGGCCACTGTGATTAATAAACCATCCAATTTAAATCTCCACAGTGTGGCTGTCAGTCGAGCCTGCTGCATGTAGGCCTGTCTGAAGCAGAGCAGAGGCACTTCAGCTGGGGCAGGCTGCTCGACCAAGGCATCACTCTCGGAGGGGTGAGGTACCACAGGTTGTGCATTTTGTCCCCGGGATCACAGTACCTTTACAGGGTGGCCAGCAGAAAAAGAAGAACAAAACACAACTCCCAAAAAAGGAAATATGGCTTCATTTCCTTTCATTTCAGTCCACTTGGGCTGTTGAGGGAACACTCCTGCCCTGAGGGGATGGACCTCAAGGCAGAATGAGGGGAAAAGCACCCTTTGCTCTGTGTTGACCCACATAGACACTGGCCACCGGGCAGTAATAGCAAAACATCTAGCAAGCAGGTTTTTTCAGAACAGAGAAAAGAAACTAGGGCAAATCTTTCTTTTTTTTTTTTTTTTTTTTTTTTTTTTTTTTTTTTTTTTTTTTTTTTTACCCCCTCTGGGTGACAACTATCTATGCCTCTGCAGTAGGTACCCTAAATCTCATCTCAGGTGACCCTAGTGAGCTAATCACCTTTTCTCTCATCATTAGCCACAGAAGAGAGTAATCCATCCTGTGACCCATCCCTCTAGGCTCCTGTAATGCTTAGGTTGTTGGGAAGAAGATGTAAGTCCATCCTCCTAATGGGGAGGATTATAGAGTTAGGTGAAGCAATTAAAGCTGTTTTGCTATTTGCAACATGTTTACTTCTTCCCTTCCCAACTAAAAAGCAGGATGGGAAAGCAAAACTCCTGCGCGTCATTTCAAGCAGCCTTTTTACCAGCCTCTCTTCAGCAGCTGTGCTGAAAAGATTTGCCCTTCCCTGTTGCTCTTCTTTTTTGGCTGGGTGGTTTTTATTCCAGATCACTTTCGCAAACTGATTCATCACAAAGGTTCACCGATAGCTGTAGTGCCATGCCCAAAGAGGCAGCAGAGCGTGAGGGGCTGCTTCGGCTGACACCCCCTGATGAAGGGCTGCTCAGAAAACCCTCAGCTCGGGGCACAACACCCCCCTGCGATGCATCTGTCCCTGAGGAGCTGATAATTAGGATGGACTTTCTAAATCCCGTAATAAGCAGCAGAGATAAGAGCAATGGTCAATAGGAATGCCTAAAGGGTGTTGGGAAACTTGCAGGCTTTTAGAAATACAATTTCTTTTGCAGTCCATTGGAGGGAGGTGATGGAGTCCTCTGCAACTGTATTTGTGTACCTGTGTTTAACATTTAGGTAAGCAGCCTGCAGAACTGCATACTTTTGTGGGAAGAAGAATTAGAAGTCTTAATTACTTTTCCAGCCTTATCTTTCAGACTTTCACAATGCAGAACTAGTAAGTGAGCTGAATTTCAGAGGAGGTAAAACAGTGATTTGAAGGGCAATGGCCCTGAAACTCCTGATTCCTTTAGCAAGTGAGAAACAAAGGTGAAAAATAAGCAGGTAAAAAATAGATCAATAATGTGCCCATCCAAGAGAATGGGTACAACATTTATTTGGCTGATTAAAATTTATTGGGAAACTGAAGCTTTATTATAATTTTTAAAATTTTTAAGCACATTAAGGTTTACAGATACTTGAAATAGGAGAAGTGTGCTAATCTAATAAGAAATGCCATCAGCTTTTTAATGTTCGTGCAAACATGCCTGAGGATTTCTCATGCAGGAAAGTCTGCCCACAGGAAAGTACTGGATGCTTCTGGATATATTTGTAGGATATGTGCAAGAGGTTCAAAAGAGCCCAGATACTTAAACTGGAGACAAACAAGTTAACTCCCCAACCATTATATCTTTGTAATTTTAATATAACTATGCAGCTACAATTTTGTTTCCCAATTTTTTGTTTTAAATTCATCCAGGATGCCACGCCTTGAAGAGAAGGTAGCACAAATAGAAAAGGACAAGGCAATTTTATAATGAAAAAGAGTTTCTTTCAGTCTTGTAATGGCAAGAACTTTAATATTAATTTCAAAGGTGAGCTTGTGAGCTTATTGGTGACTCCCATTTAAGATATCATGAGTGACACGTGTAAAGTCATGCGTGTTGCTTTGAGCATTGGACTAAACTCACACAGTTGACTGCATTCACCAAAATCAAAATGTGTAGGGGTAAGAATTGGTGCGTTTAGAGCTATCCTCAGGGAAAACTGGATGAAACCACCAGAGGCAATGCTCATTTCTGAAGCCATGAAGCAAATGAACAGTTAATAGATTTTTCATTTGCTATGTAAGTGAAATGTAACTGCCAGTGTACCAGTTGCAATCATGCCGGCAGGTGTTTAATTGCTTATGCATATTTGAACCCCAGTTGCTTCATCAGAGAAGTTTTACTTCACCACTGAGACTGCTGAGTAAATAGCAAGTGTCCCCAGAAGCCAGCAAAAATTTGAACAGCTGCCAAGAGTAACTCACCAATTTCCAAGAAATAAAGGAGTAAATGTTAGTCTCGATAGGAGATTGCAGGAGGAAGGCTGGCAACAGATAAAACATTATGTTACAGGATAGTTGCAAAACTGTGCACCATCTATTTTACTTGGTTTCTTCCTTTCCTCTCCTCTCAAAATGTAGTAAATACAGCATTAAAAGTCTGGACTTAGTGTCAGGTACTGCTACTGGCTGTCTGTACGTTGTCAGCAGAAAAGGGTTCCTGTCTGGTAGAAGCTTTGATGAGCTACTTGCAAAAGGCATAAAAATTACGCTCAAAAGCATTCGCTAGGATGCATTGGCTACTTACAGAAGAGTCATTGGTGCCAAAGATGTCTCTCACATCCCGGACTCTGTGCTTGTTCTTCTTCCTTAGGGTCTGAGTGTAGGTGTTGTACCTCTTCTGTACAGCGGCAGCTTGAGTTCGGGTCAGAGTGGACAGCAGGGCTTGGCCGTCCTCTTCTTCAGCGCCCGAGATCAGCGTAGATAAACCTACATCTTGCAGCCATTCTGCCTCCAGCTCCCCTTCTGCGGAGGAAGAGAGCATGTTACCAGGCCTGGCATGGGAGGGAGAGGGGGCTGAAGGAAGGGAGGTGGCATGGTAGACTGTTGCCTTAGCCTTTACCTCAAGAAGACTCCACTTCCAATCTTTCTTAGGCCACAAGTGTAAGTTAATTTAGTTTTGTCGACATAATGTCAACTTTCAGTTTGGCAGTCTCTGCACAGAAGAGGCTTAGGAGAAGAACAGAAGAGGTATTTTTAACTTGTGCATCAACACACTCGTGTGAAGAAGGCTGTAGGGTGCCTAGCTGGGCACAGCAATGTCACTAAAAACTAACCCCTCATTCAAAAGCATAAATCCCCTCAGTTACCATTTATACCACGTTGTACTGGATGAAGCCATTTGGCAGGTAGAAATTAAGTTGGTATTCCAATTAAAATAGGCAAAAATACTGTAGTGATGTATACAATAGAATAATGTATTTGCACACTAAGGATGAGATTCGAGATGCCAGAGGGTCAGCTGGTAATCAGACACTTAGTGAAGATGCCACACTGAGAGAAGCGTGATGTCCACCTAATCCAACAGCCTGTTTTGGACAAGATGGTTAAGAGCCAGAGCCACTCACTAAAGAGCAAAGGTCAGGTAGGGGTAGGTATCAAGGAGGTCAGGTAGGGGTGGAAGATGCAGAAATAGCTATCCTTGCATGCTAGGTATCATCCTGATTTCTAATAATTAAAGACTGGCTAGCACTCTATATCCGGGGTTTCTTGATATCCTGATTAGTGACTAATACCTTCTTGAATCCTATTCAAAACCTGTTTCTCAGATGGTTCAACACGGCAACTGGTTCCATAGTGAGATTATGCACTGTGTGAAAAAGTATTTTCTTTCCTCAGATTTCAGCTTGCTACCTGGTACATTAAATGAATATCCCCCATCACTGTAGGACAGGGAGAAGCTCCCAACCTACCTTCTCTAAATCATTTAGTAATTTTAAATTTTGTTGTCATTGCCTTTTTGTTTGTCTGCTTTTTAAAGTAAAGAGTCAGTCTTTTAAAATCTCTCTTCACATAGGAGATTTTGAGGGCCTTCATTTTAATTCTGTCTGTGAACAATCCTGGCTCAGCAATACGCTGTTTGAGACAAGACAATAATTGCATTCCAGCTTTGACTGAAGAGGGGGTATTACAAATAAACATGTCAAACAGGAAATGGATTAATTTGCAGCCTGTTCTATAAAACAACTAGTCAATGCCCTTATTGTTTTTGTCCCAGCGCTGGTCTTAATGGCAGGTTGGTATTTTCACTCCCTTTATTGCCTCTTCTTGACACCAGAATGCAGGCAGATTGATAGATACCAGTTTGCTGCACTTTGGCAGTTAGGTACACAAAAAAGAAAACTGCAGGGCTGGATGGTAGGGACAAGTGAAAGCATCTTACACGTGTGCCTTCGCTGACTTGCTTGTTAACTGCCTTGCCTCTTCACAAAGCTCTACAAAAAATATCCGCTTCTAAAACCCCTGCTGTGTGTAAGATGGGATGTGACCAGCCCTGTATCCCGTGAAACAGCTTGTCTCCGCTCTGATCCTTTCTGTATCCATAGATAGGATGACAGGGTCTTCCTTTCCCCTCCTTGAACCAATGGTTCTTCTGCCATCCTCACTCTTCTTTCTAACAAGGTCTCTTTACATTTCCGTGTGCTGCTGTTCTAGCCACGCCCATTTGTGTTCCAGTTTCTTAATTATATTCCTTTTGGCTTTTGTCCTGACGTATTCTTTCCAAGAATTTATTTTTTAATCAAACTTGGCTTTCATGATGCTATGAAAAATAGTAAAGCAGACATGAAACTGTGCCTACTTACCAGCCGCCCCTGTGATTTGTTTTCTCTGGCTTTTGCCCTTTTCCTGTTCCAACCACTCACAAACAATAGACTAAGAAACAATGACAACAACCAGAGGAGTAAAACTATTAAAGAGAAGGAATTTCTGCATTAAAAAAAAAAAAATCAAAATGTTAGATACATATGTTTAAATAAGGGCTAAAAGAAAAACATGTTGTTTTACAAAACATGGCTTTTATAGTGGTCACTACTTATACAGCAGGGTCTTGATAATGTGTTTGATTCTGCTCCACCAGAAGACAAACAGATAATCAAGAGGGTTCCCTCTGGTTGGTAATGCTCTTTTTCTCATAGAGATTGCTAGGAAAGAGGTATGCCTTTCTTTGAATTTCAGATATAACCTCAAATAACTCAGAGCATCCCACCCTTGTAACACCAAGTGTTAAAGCAGTTCTGCACATCACTGCCATCTTAAATACCCCATGACTTCCTCTTCCCCTACATTTTCATCCCTTGTATCACTTGTTATGATCTTCTCTTCTTTCTTGACTGTAGTTACTAATGTCAACAGACTAAGTGTGCTGATGTCTTCCCCTTGCACATGTGGTCTGGCAAAAAACCAGCTGTGTGGTTTCAACAGTATCAGTGATGCCTGGCTGCTATCACCCTTTGGTTTCCTTCTTATGGATTCTGCATCTCTTCCTCTCAAAGACATCTCAAAAGGGTGATGAATATTTATTTTTATTTTGCCCTGAGGACTTCTACGTTGATTTTCAGTGTTTTGATTCTCGACAAGGAGTATTATCCTATTAGGAGCTTAATAGAACTCACTATTATTTCCAAGATTTATAATCCTAGACTGAATATATTCCTGAAGTTAATAACTAGAACAAGCACTGCCTGGTTGTGTGAGGGTGTATGCAATATATATGTGTTTAAAACAACAGTATGAAGGTAGATGAAGTGTGGACATGTATTGCATTTTACCTTGCAGTCTCTTTTTTAATTCAGGACAGAGGGGAAAAAATCAATGCAATGTGATGAAGTGTAATCAGACAAAGGGTAACGTGGGACTACAGCAGAATTTGCACTGTTGTGAAGATTTAGCTCAGCAGTGATGAAACTGATGGAAAAGTTTCTGAGAACGTGGAAAATGGGCTCCTGTATTGCCTTGTCCTACTAACTTATCCAGCTTGGTAACTCACAGATATGTGACAGTCCCCTGACCGTGCAGACAAGTCAGGGACACCCAGTTCACACTGACAATTGCATGAAGGAGACACCAAGAGATTCACAATCTCTTTCTGGGGTCTCTACGCTAGAGAGCATGATCAGACAGGAATTTTCCCAATAAGGTCAAACTGATTGAGGCAGACTGCTTTTCTGCCTTCCCATAACAATAACCATAAAGTTTCAATGTTACAACTTGATTTATTTTTATTTGAGACCACAGGCCAGCACAAAGAACTGCAGTTTGGATTTAAGCTGCCAGACCATAGCCCTCATAGCACACTGAGACTTCTGGTGAACGGAGGTCTTCTTTTGCTTCCAGGAGAGCCCTACCTGGAACTAGTGAGTGGGAGGTGTTCCCCATGGAAATGGTACATGGTTGGAGCTAGACAACTCTGTGTGGGATACTTATCATGACTGGTTACATATTTGGTTGCTTAATAAAGTAGCACCCTTTCCCCCTTTTCACCCTTCCTCCTGGTTGCAGAATTAATGACATCCCATTGCACATCAAGGTAAGAAAAATACATCGTCACTCATGTTAATAATTGTATGGAAAGAACACACCATTGTTTCCAAATCTATCCCTAGATCAGTAGTTACCAGACTAGTGGCCATGATCCACAAAAGGGTTGCAGCAGTTACCAGTGGGTCATGACCTCAAAAGAAATTTGGTTTCATCCCATAGTAACACCTGATATTTTGTGTTGCACAATATAATGCATGTGTAAGTCAGGTCATAATTGGGAAAAAAATGAGAACTGCTGTTCTAGATGTTATCAAATCATCTAACACAAAGCTGCATTGCAACAAGCTAGTGCAGACTATTACATGTTTTTCCAAATACATTATGAAAAAGGAGAGGGGGAAATGTTAAGGTAACAGAATAAGGTAGTAATACCTTCAGCATAATTTGTATGTGATGAATGAATTTTGACAAGTGGGGAGTCTGAATGATGTAGGCAGCCTTATATTAAGACTTACCTCTAATGTCTCCTTGAATTATATCTAAATCGCGCAATCATCTCGGAGAAACAGGCAGTTATCAAATTTCTGATAGCAGCAAACAATATCTAACCAAAAACTGCTTCAAGACTTTCATAACTTCTGCATTATATCCTACCGAAAGCCAGAAAGCTGAAAATTCCAGTAGACTAAATGAACTTTTTGGTCCTTTTATATGTTTTGGTCTATTTTATTTAATGCTGGAGATGAAGTTTTCATTTAGTGCCTCTCTTTTCCGAATTACACCACATCTGTCCTCCTGAAGTACAAATAAAATTGGTGCAAAAAAACCTACTTCAGAAGTCAGTTACCAGCCCCAGTGCATAAACCAGATTGAATTGTTGTTCCTTTCCAGTGATCTCTCGTACATTGACTGTGACATTCAGAAGTAGAGTTACAATAATCATAGACCCAGCCTAGCACTCTTGCTTGTACTGGATGACAGTAGGAAGGAGACCAGGGCATCACTAAAGAGACGAGGCAAAGCCAAGGTGTGAGGAAGAAGTGGTGTTTGTGTGCTCACCATCAGCAGGTCTGAACTCCAGGAGTGTTGCTTCTTCAGATCCATCTTCACTGCTCTCCTTGATGCTCTCCACTTCGCACCAGAAGTCCTCCATGGAGGTACTGTCCATGGAGGCCTGTGAGTTGGAGCGACTGAATGCAGGAGGAGGTGCCGACTCGTTGGAAAGCATCCTGTTAATTCTTCGACAACGAGGGAGAGACTTTCTGAAAAGAGACAGAGATGAAAATAAAAATAGTCTATCTTTCTTTCATGCTAATTTGTACCATGCAGACAAAGCACGCAACTAGGGCTTCAACCGTGACTGTACCGGGGAGCAGGGAACAAGATGTTGGAGGCAAAGTGCACAGTTCTGGTGGTCTTCATGATCTCTGTTGCTCATAACAGTTATGGCTGGAAATTTGTTTTGTATCTAATAATTTATCTCTTTAATATCCTTTAGTGTTTTCTGCCATAGACGGGGACTCAGGAGATGCAATTTCTATTTCTAAAACTGATACCCATCTAATGAGACATTGGAAAAGTATTTTAACTTCCTTGTGCCTCAGTTTCTCTTTCTATCCCTTCCTGTTTTGCTTACTGGCTGAAAAGCCTCAGTGCAAACTTCTTTGGGGAAAAATAATCAGACTTGGGAACCATGAAATATTTTACAAACTCATCTTGGCTCCAGAAAAGAATTAAAAACTTGAAATATATTAATTCAGAAGAATAATTACCTTTTTCTTTTGGAAATCCTTTAAAAAATAATCCATTTTAAAAAAGAAATTAAAATAAATGAAATCTTAACAAAATTTGTCTTTGAAATGAAATAGTATGTTTTAGGCCAAGCAGAAGGTTTTGATCACAGTTTAAAAGAAAATTATGATTCACTAAAACTCAAATTTCAAGTTACGATTCAATACAGTGATGCAATCAAAAAAAAGGTTCCTTACTCCTTTGTTCTTGTCTTTTCTCACTGTAAATTCTTGCAACTGAAGACAGTTATACAAATTCATACAAAATCTTATAAAATACCCACCACAATAGTCTTGTCTGTCTTTACTCTTTCACATTATGATGATTGCAATACTGCAAGCAGCTTTTGTAAGTGTAATTACAGTAGTTACAGTAAATAGTAATAATAACCACAACAATATTTGTACAAAGGAGTCAGGAGGTAACGTAATTATGGCAGAGAGCTAGACTACAGGAATTAATGGAAAATTCTGTCATAGGGTCTTCTGGCCTTCACTTATCTGAATTAATTCAAATGCAGTTTCCCTTTCTCTTCCTTTTCTTTATGGCATCATCCTGCCAACAGGCCTTTGTTTAAAACCACAGGCATCACTTTTACTCCACTGAAAAAAAGATACTTCCTTTTCAGTATTTCCCTCCTTGTCAACATTTTCGTAATGGATGTATAAACAATATATTATTTAATAAAGCTGACTGGATGTGCTTTTCCCCCTTTGTGCTGCTACCTCTGCTGCATCCCCCTCGTCAGCGAAGGGCTGGCTGCTTCCCTGAGGTTCCTGGAGCCTCCTCGCTTCGTCTGGGTGGTCCCAGGCAATTCTTTCTGGGTTAGGTGTGAGCCCTAGGTTGGGGAGCAGTGGTGGAAACAATGGAGCACAACAAATCCAGCTGTGGACATTATCAGTGTTTTAAAAAGGCAAAGCTCAGGCCTTTGCCCCTTTTTGAACACACAGAGGTGTCATACAGATGATTCAGCTGCCAAACCTGCCCGTGTGCTCTTGGTCAGCTGCTGGGAAGCAAAGCTTTCTGATGGGTGACAGTATTTCAGCAGAAGAAAATGTACTATGGTGCCGTGGAGACACATCCTCCAGGAAGAGAAGTGCTATCTTCAGTGTTTCTATCCTTTTTTTCCTCATAAACAGCAAATGATTGTTTGCTTTTAAACATAGCACTGAAACTGTTATTGTTTTAATTAGAACAAGACACAGTCACCAAATCTGAGAAGAATTTGTGACACAAGTGTGGTTAAAGCTATTTGAGTGCTTTCCATGTAGCTCTCCCTCTGGGGAGACACGAGTGTTTCAGTCGGCTTTTGTTTGCAAAGCCTCAGATGACTGGGGTACCTGACAAATCATAATTACTGGAATTATGTATCTGGATTCACCTCTCTCTCTTCCCTGCATCAGCATCAGCAAGGAAAAAAAAAATAATGCAAGTCTCACAGGACTTAAATATCATGAGTTAATACTGAACCAAGTGTCCCCAAGCAGAGTTTTTAACCAGCAGAAGCAGAACCCCTGAGAAGCAGCCAAAACCCCCCATGTCTTCAGCTGGGAGCTGGTGGGGACAGGGGAAACAGCTCCCGCCAGCCAATTGCTTACTGCTGTGAAAAGTGGCGCTCTTTTGTTTAAAAGGTGATAATGAACACAAATAAGGAAAAAGGCAAAACTTCCTGGCACTCTAATGGCATTTGGGGCCCCTTTTCACCGGGCGTTGTACAAGCAGAGAGAAACGCCAAGGCTTGGTGTCAGGCATGCAGCGGGTGCCCATCATCTTGCCCCAGCCTGTCTCTCCCTGGCCTCCTCTTTATCTCGGGGCTCTGCCTGAGACCCCCACGCTGCTGCCCACTGAGCAATTCATAACCCTGCTTAGTATAAACCTTTGTGAAAAATAAGTCCCTACATCTGCTATATAACACAGCCCAGAGCTCCCACACCAGCAATCGTAGGAAGAAATGCTCTCGCTGGTCTGGAATCAGACACGTGCTGGGATGAGAAGAGGGCTTTTTTCCTGATAGCATTGCTGGCTCCCATCATTTAGTCATGGTCAGGGAATTTAAACATTTCCTGCCCTCCCAGTGTGAATCTTGACCATGACCCTTGTGCTCTTCACGCACCACACCAGACTGATCCTTGGGCTTTGACTCCATCAGCACTTCAGCTAGCTCAAACCAAAGCTTTTAATTTCACCATATTAGGAAGAAAGAGGCTTGGTGGGTTGTTTCTTTTCTCCCCACAGTGATTATGCTATTTTGTAATATTACCATACCAAAAAGCTAAATGCAAAACAGACCACGTAGCATGGCAACAACTGCTGTGACAACCAGCTTTACCAAATACGTCTAAGGTTCCTGGGTAATTAACGTGCGTTTACAACAATATTAAAAGTACAGAGCTTATTTGGAAAATCAGCTGAACAAACTCTCCTGAGAACCTCATATCTGAGGCTTGTTATCTCAGCCCGGATTAAATCAAGCTGTGTAAAATTCCTGTAACAAGAAAGGTTAGACAGAGGTGCTTTATCCTTATTGGTAAACAGCTGAAGCTTGCTTCCAGGTGGTCTGGTACAAACCTTCTGCAATTATTCTGAGTCTGCCTATTAAAAGCTCATGTGTTTGAAAAGACCTCCAGCTGCCGTTTTGACCCATATACCTGTGGCTTTTGTCCTGGAGGAAGTGGTCTTGCTTTTATGTGATAATGGCTGTTGTCTCCATTTCCTCCAGCCAAAGCTGCTCAAAACAGTTTCAGGAAAAAAAACCAAACCAAACCTACTGAGGAAGCAAAGCATATTCTTCACTGCTTTTAATTCATTCTTGAAGGACACTGAATGAGCACTGACTCAGCAAGCTGCCTGCCTGTCTCAGAAATAGCTGAACAAGCCCAGGTTGCCTGTCACCTGGGAACTCTCCTGAAAACCTATGTTCTGGATAGATACCTTTTCCACCCTCAAGTCTTTCTGGCTTGTTTTCACTGCTTTTAATTCATTCTTGAAGGACACTGAATGAGCACTGACTCAGCAAGCTGCCTGCCTGTCTCAGAAATAGCTGAACAAGCCCAGGTTGCCTGTCACCTGGGAACTCTCCTAGCAGAAAACCTATGTTCTGGATACCTTTTCCACCCTCAAGTCTTTCTGGCTTGTTTGCTCTTTTTCTCAGTGTCTGTAGAGAAGTTTACAAGGATAAAATGTTTTCACTAAGCCAAATCTGTTGTTCTTGCAGAAAATTTGAAAACCAGTCTTTTTAGGTAAGCAGCAATCATGAAGCTCATGCTCAGTTTCATTTGTTCCTCACACACACAGGCAGTGGTGAGCTAATCTGAAAGGCTGACTAAATTAAACACAGGAGGGATCTCAGATTCTGGCTTCTTAGATGGAAAATGCTGGGAGAGAGGGACGAACCTTAAGCACTGAGCAAAAATTACAGTGACTGCACTGAACGAGCTGAAATTGTTTTCAGGGTGGAATTAAAAAAAACAACAAAACAAACTACACAGACACAAACCCAAACCCTTGAAAAAGGAAAGAAAAAGAAAGAAGGGAACGGCCAATGTTATCAAAGAACTCCTCTATTACTGGATGTTGGTCACAGAAGAAAGGGTTAAAGAGTTGCAGTAAGGAGAAATATGATGATATCATGTAGAAAGCTTTCTGTGGAAAGATTTTTGCAAAGAAGCAGGGTATTTCTATGGGGCACAAGGAGGCTGATTCAACTGTGTGTGACTCTGGTTTTGCCCTGGTGTATGTTCATAACGCTGATGAAATGCAATAGCAAAACAGGCCCATTGAACCTATATTTTATATTCCGTATATCACTCAGAAGTGTGCTGTTCAGGGTCTGACAGCACACATCGATTTCAGGATAGCCAAGCCAAATCCAATAAGCAATTCTTATCCTATCCCCGAAGTGAAGGTTTGTCAAACCACATGAAGAGCTGGTTCAGTGACACCCAATGATTGCTCACAGGCTGACTAATGATAAAGCCAGGCTTGTGTTTTCAGTTTAATTAAGTAATGGGTGGTAAAGAATCCATAAAACAAACGGGAGCAATAAAGCCATCTTGTAGTTAAAACCAACGCTTAATCCTTGTTTACACAGGGAGACAGGACATCTTACTCTGTGTGTCTTTATGCTTCATTTCATTCAGCAGGTTGTGAACCTGCTTCACCACAATTAGTCACATTTATAGGAACGGGGAAGATGAAGGAAGCAAATTCTCCTGGTCATTTCAGGACTAAGATCCACTTTTTCATATTGCAATCATTCTATCAGTGTAGCCACTTAATCCAATGAAGTCAGTAGTGCCTGAAAACCACAACAGTGGCAGAGTACAGTGTTGTGTCCTGTATCCAGATCTTTCTGTCCTTCAGTTTATCATAATAATTCACCAACTTCTGACAAAAAATAATTACCCACTCTCTGCTCAGCTTTTCCCAAATGTAAAAAAGGGAATGGTAGCTTGCATTGATAGGGAAACAA